TTGAAAATTGCCCAAACTTCAGGTCAAGACCTCCGGAACACTTAACGGAGTTTTTAACGAAATGACAAAAATAATGGATGGTTGACAATCTCAAGGACCATTTCTACTGATTTTCAATCTTAGGGACCAAAGTGATGTGTTACGCAAATCTCAGGGACCATTTTGGCTACAAACCTAAAATTTTCCACCACTTATATAATAACACGTGGTAAACCATTTATGTTACAAGCACAATGAAAAATTTTCTCCAAGATGACACCCAAGCTCAAGAAATTGGATGGAGAACTACATTTATTATTGTAGGTATATGAAAAAAGGGTAAATTACATAGTAGCCCCTCAGGTTTGAGGTCTATTGCAATCTTATACAACATCTTTAAAACATTTCACTTTCATACCTTAAGTACTATTTTATTTCAATTTCATACAACCGTTACATTTTCCATCCATGGATCTGTTAAATGCTGACGTGGCTGACACATGTATGTCACGTGGCTGCCAAATGTCTGCCACGTGGCAAATAAAATAATTTTTCAATTTATTTTAAAAAAACCTGTTTGCCACTTTTTTTTTTCTCTCTTTCTTCTTCTTCTGGGTTCGGACCCCTTTTTTTTTTTTTTTTTTTTTCTCTTTCTTCTTCTTCTTCTTCTTCTCTTTCTCTTTCTCTTTCTTCTTCTTCTAGGTTCGGACCCTTTTTTTTTTCTCTTTCTTCTTCTTCTTCTCTTTCTCTTTCTCTTTCTTCTTCTTCTTCTTCTTCTTCCTCCTCCTCCTCTTTCTTCTTCTTCTTCCTCCTTCTTCTTCTGGGTTGCAGGGGTTTGATCCCTTCTTTTTTTTTTTTTCCTTCCAATTTCAGTTTTTTTTAAAAAAAATTAAAAAATTATTTTATTTGTCACGTGGCAGACATTTGGCAGCCACATGACATACATGTGGCAGTCACGTTAGCATTTAACAGATCCATGGATGGAAAATGTAACAGTTGTATGAAATTGAAATAAAATAGTACTTGAGGTATAAAAGTGAAATGTTTTAAAGATGTTGTATAAGATTGCAATAGACCTCAAACCTGAGGGGCTACTATGTAATTTGGTAATTGAAAAATGAGGAAATTTTAATTTGGTAATTGAAAACATCTTTTTAAATATAATTACCGAAAACATAATATTCTCAAGGTTTTGATCTAAAGAGTCACTTCTGGGTTCATCGTTTTCAGTGCAATGGGTGCTTTTACAGAACCAAAAAGGGTCTAAGTTTCAAACCTTATGAAACTAAACCAAGAATTAAACATTATTTACAAAACTTCACAAATAAGTAGACATTATTCATGAAACTAGACCAATAAGTAGACACTATACCAATAAGTAGAGACTATTTATGAAACGAAAACAAGAATTATGCATTATTTCCAAAACTAAACCAATAGGTGGAAACTACTTAAGAAACTGGATTATATACTATTTATGAAACTGGAGTAAGAACTAGACTATTTATGAAACACGACAAAAAACTAGACATTATTTATGAAAGTGGACCAATAACTACACATTATTTATGAAACTGAACTAAGAAAGAGACACTATTAATGAAACTGTACCAATTACTATACATTATTTATGAAATTGGACCCAATAACGGGGCATTATTTAAGAAACATGATTAAGAACTAGACACTATTTATTAAAGTGGACAAAAAACTAGACACTATTTATGAAATTGGACTAATAAATAGTATAGTACCGTTCAATTTCATAAATAGTGTTCATCTTCATAAATAGTGTTCAGTTTCATAAACAGTGCACAAATCCTGTGGGCATTACGTTTTTTTTAATTTTTTTAAATTTTTTTAATTGTGTCCTTTTCATTAAAATTAAGTTTTTTTTTTTTGTCATTTTTATTAAAATTTAAGGGTTTTCATTAAAATTTAATTTTTTTCCATTAAATAAAGTTATAGCATGATTTTTTGTTAAAATAAATTTAGCCCAAGCCTTTTTCATTATCTTGATTAAAATATGTAGGCTTTTTAGCCAAAATGGTCCCTGAGATTTGCATAACACATCACTTTGGTCCCTGAGATTGAAAATCAATATAAATGGTCCCTGAAATTGTTCACTATCAATTATTTTGGTCATTCTATTAAAAACTCCGTTAAGTTGTCTTGGAGCTCATACCAGAACTGAGATTTTTTGCTGGAAGTTTGGGCAATTTTCAAAGCTTTGTAACTCAATCGTTTCTTAACCAAATTCGACACATAATATATCAAAATGAAGATAGGAAAGTGTTGAACAAGATTATACCAATTTGGAAGCCCAATGGTTGGCGGAGATGGCTAGAAAATAGCCGGAAAATAGCCTAAAATGTGACTTGTCCGCGGGAAAACTGAAAAACTCGCCTGAAATTGGGTAAACTTTAAACGTTTATAACTTTTTCAATACTTAATGAAATCGAATGATTCAAAAATGAAAATCATATTTCTCAATGAGACAAAGAGAATGATACTTTTTCAATGGCTAACTCGCCGTGGTTTTGCCGGAAAACAACTCAAAATTGACTAACTAGATGAGATCAAGACAGTCACTTTCGAACCGTTTTTCAGAAAAAAACAGTGAGTTAGCCATTGATAAAGCTACCATTCTCTTTATCTCATCGAGAAGTATGCTTTTCGGTTTTAAATCACTTGATTTCGTTGTGTATTGAAGAAGTTATGAACATTTAAAATTTACCCAGTTTTTAGCGAGTTTTTCAATTTTCCTACTGACCAGTAAGCTTTCAAGATATTTTTCGGCCAAAACATGGCATGTTAGCCATTTGAAAAGGTACTATTCTCTTTTTTTTCGTCGAGAAGTATGATTTTCATTTTTGAATCACTCAATTTTGTTGAGTATTGAAGAAGTTATGAACGTTTAAAGTTTACCCAGTTTCCACACGAGTTTTCCAATTTTTCTGCTGACCGAATTAGCCATCTAGAAAGGTACCATTCTCTTCGTCTCGTCGAGAAATATGATTTTTGTTTTGGAATCACTCAATTTCGTTAAGTATTGAAGAAGTTATGAACATTTAAAATTTACCCAGTTTCTGGCGAGTTTTCCAGTTTTTCCGCGGACTAATCACCTTTCAGGCTATTTTCCAGCCATCTCCGGCAACCATTGGGCTTCCAAATAGGTATAATCTTGTTCAACACTTTGCTATCTTCATTTGATATATTATGGGTCGAATTTGGTTAACAGATGATTGAGTTACGAAGCTTTGAAAATTGCCCAAACTTCCGGCAAAAAATCTCAGTTTCCGATATGTGCTCCGTAACCACTTAACAAAGTTTTTAACGGAATGACCAAAATAATGGATGGTGGACAATCTCAAGGACTATTTCTATTGATTTTCAATCTCAAGAACCAAAGTGATGTGTTATACAAATCTCAGGGACCATTTTGGCTAAAAAGCCTACATATTCTTGATGAGACCATTATGTTTTGTTTTTATACAAAATATAATTTTTTAATTTTTTTTATAAAAATTATATTTTGTACACATCTTAGGGACCATTATGTGACGGGTGACGGGGTACACGTGGGTGTTTGTTTTTATACAAATTATATTTTGGTTTCAATTAATTTAAACAAAAAGGAGAGATATTCGAACTCAGAAACATAAAGAAGAGAAGAAGAAGCATACAAAAAGGAGAGATATTTGAACTTAGAAACATAGAGAAGAAGAGAAGATGAAGCACATTCAATCAAATTTACACAAAATTACCTTAACTATGGGTCAAATCACAATCTCATACCTCATGTTTAAAACATGACAATGTCATACCTTAACTTATGATTTCGTTGCAATGTCATACCTCTGTTAACTTTTCTGTTAATTTTTCTGTTAAATGCTGACGTAGTATGACCAGGGCTCACTATTTTGCTAATTAAAATAAAAAATTTATGAATTAATAATAAATTATTTGTTATTTATTTAACAATTAAGATTAATTATAAACAAATAATTTTTGGCCCCCTCATCCCAATCTCTCTCCTTCAAACTCTCCCTTCTCTCCCAACGCACCCCAGAAAACGAGCACCAGCCAGTAGGAAAAATTTCTGCTCCGTTCACCCTAAAATCTCTACCAAAACACATGAAATTTATCTCAAAACGAAGATCATAGATCGAAGAGTAGAAATATACCCTTTTTATGCCAAGTCGTGGTCGGATAATGGCCTGAGGTTGTCAGCCAGAAACTGGGCTTTTGATTTCTCGCGAAATTGAGGGAGATTCAAGTCTCGCATGCTCGAATCCAAACCTCAAGATGAAGGGGAAGTGATCCATGGTCCAAGTCTCGTCAAATCTAACCAGGAATTGACGGATTTTCATCTGAAAATTGCGAGGTCGTTTAGTTTAGTCCATCTATGTTGTTGTACAGAGAAGGTGAGAGGTTAGAAAAACTGGGGAGTTGAGCGATGAGGGAGAAAAGAAGAGAGAGTGATATGGTTGTGGTGGTGGTTTAGTGATGGCCGTTCTCTGGGGCTTGGCGTCTCTGTGAACGCAGAGAAGAAAAGATGGTGAGCGTTGGGAGAGAAGGGAGAGTTTGAGGGAAAAGATGGCCGTTCTCTGGGTCGGTCGAAGTGGGCCAGAAAAGATCCAAAACCTGTGTTTAAAGAGGAGGATGAAGGGGATGGAGGAGGAAGAAGGGGGCTGAGGAGGATGAAGGGGATCTGGGGAGAAAGCACGGTTTCTGGGAAAAAAAAATAGAAGAGAAGGGCTTTGTTTTTTTAATTAATTTTTAATTGTTAAATAAATAACAAATAATTTTTTATTAATTAATTAATTTTTTATTCTTATTAGCAAAATAGTGGGCCCCGCTCATACCACGTCAGCATTTAACAGAAAAGTTAATATAGGTATGACATTTCAACGAAATCATAAGTTAAGGTATGACATTGTCATGTTTTAAATATGAGGTATGCATTGTGGTTTGACATATAATTAAGGTAATTTTGTGTAATTTACCCGACGAAAAACTAATTTCAAAGTTTGAAATCTTATTGCATGACACAAAAGAAAGAAGATAATAGCATATTACATGATATGACAATTGATAGTTTAAATTCTTTAATATCATCATCCACGTGACTAGACACACCATTTTTATTCCTTAATATCGTTCTTTAGGATGACCTTATGCTGCTACCGTACTTTTTAGAAAGTTGACAAACTGCCCGATGTAGTGGTCTTGGTGCAGCTTGTGATCACCAAAAACAGCTGCAGCTTTCCTTGCATTGGATCTCAGCTGCTCTCCTTCCTCTTCCACCATTGCATGTCTTAGGGTTTTGGCTATCTCATCTTTACTAAACGACCCATCTCCGCTGCATTTCACTTCCACAGCCAGACCCTTGTCTTCCAGAAGCCTTGCATTCAGAGGCTGATCAATAATCAATGGTAGCACAACAAGAACATGCCCAAATTGCAGAGTTTCAATCACGGATCCCCATCCAGAGTGAAACAAAGAACCACCAACTGACGGGTGCCCCAGAATCTCGATCTGGGGCACCCACCCGAAACAAACAAGTCCTCTCTCTGATGTTCGCTCAGCAAAACCAGGAGGTAAAGCATCAGCATCACTATTTGCCCAGTTGGGGTTTCTGAGTGCCCAGAGAAATGGGAGTCCTGATAACTCCAGCCCAGAAGCTATCTCAAAGACTTGCTCTTTACTCAACTTACACTCACTCCCAAACCCTACAAACACAACTGACTTGTTTTTTCGCTTATCAAGCCATTCAAAGATCCCATCATTGGTAGAAATTCCCCCTTTTCCCCTCTGTGCAGGTAGATCCGGAAGAAGCAAACCTGTGGAAATCACAGGCTTTCCTGTAATTTTCTTGAAAACCTCCAAATATTCTCCTTCTACCTCATCGCAAGTTCGAATGGCTAACGCTTGACTTGCAGATAAAATCTTGGCAAGCCTTGCAGAATCACTTATCCCACTTTTATTGACTCCAAAAAAGCCTCGCGCCACATAAGGCGCCACAAAGTCTCTATACGCAACCGATGAAGGAAAACTAACCCAATCCGGGGGTGAAGTTAGACTTTCCGGTGTTGGGATAGCATGATTTCTATTCGTACCCAAGAGGTTTTCCATTGAGCCGAAAAACACATTGCAAGCAGCAGAGAAAGGAGAGAACCACGCAATTGAAACACCATACTCTTTGGCAATGTCGACCACCCAATGAGCTGCAAAATCAGATAGTATCCAATCCGGCAACTCCTCCCCAATGAACTGCTTAAGGGGTTGCTGCAGTAGATCATATGCAACCTTCAAGTTGTCAAGTTTTTCGAAGGGTAGATCCACCGTGGCCTCCGCTCCTTCCGGCAAGAAGTCGGGATCCAGCGGAGGAAATGGGATGGGGACTAAATGGATAAAGGGGTTCAAATCAGATGGAATTTTGGGAAGCCTCTGGATGTTTCTTGGGGTGGATATGAAATAGACATGAACGTTGGACTTTGCCAAGGCAATGGAGAGTTGAAAGTAAGGCATTATGTGGCCGAAGGCGGAATATGGAAGCATCACAACTCTCAGATTTTTCCCCATGTGTTTGTTTTTTTTGGCTGGAAATTGGAATGGGATTTGCAGTTGGAGGTTTTTTTTTTTATGATGCTCCGGAAGAAATGAGTTGCCAAGTTAATAAATCATGCTTCTTGTCCATTTATTTGTAGGTTGTGAAGCCTGGCAAGTGCCCAGCAACCTGCCTCCATCAGTCACGTTTTACAATTAATTAAGCAAGATGGTCTGCAATGCACAATTATCACATTTGGGTGAGCGGTGGTGCACTAACTCCCATAGCTATATCACCTTATCATATTAAATACTTAAAAAAAATTGGAATTTCATCCTAAAACCAATTGATAATATGGAGAATAGTTCGACTATTTATGGGTGTGTTTGTTTGACCGGATTAAGGGGGACTAGACTAGACTAAACTAATTGCTAATGTAGTCTCATGTTTGGTTTTGCTCAAGAATTAGGTTTAATGGGATTAGATCGGACATGCTCCGACTAAGTCCTTCGTTAGAAGGGCTTAGCAAGACCCCTCAATCAGTAGGGGACTACTAAGACCGTTTGCGTCCCTTCCTCCTCGCGTCCTCGTCCAGCTGTCCTCCTCGTGTCTTTGTCCTAGTTTGCTCGACCAACCTCGCCGAACCACCCCACTGACCGCGACGATCGTCAACGAGACGTACAAATTCTCGGCTTTACGCTTCTTTGGGTTTAATCTGAGCTACTTAAAAGATGAGAACGATGATGACAGGCACAAGGCTGAGTCTGAGCTCTCCACTGCTGGTGGCATGGCCATTCACGTCGATTGGAGGAGGGGATGGGGGTGGGTCATCAGAGAAGAGAGGTTTGGAGGAGGTTTGGAGGAGGAGACAATGGTGGGGTCGAAGGAACATGAACGAATTTGGTTGACTGAGATCCGCAATTGAAAATGGAGGCTCGCATGGAGGCCTAATTTGCTTACCCTTCGTGGGAAATGTATTGCCAATGCGTGGCTTTTGACAAATTGAGGCTGTAAATCTTTGGTTGTTAATAGAGAACATGAATTTTTTGGGCAGATTATGAGTTAATTTGCCAATTCTTCCTCTGGGTAATATGCAATTTAGAATTTGATTGTAGGTTAGTTGAAATTGATTGAAATTTGGTAGAATTTGGAAACTGGAAATTTTAGTTGAAATTGAAGTTGGTAGAATTTGGGAACAGGAAATTTTGGTTGAAATTTTGATGTTGGTTAAAATTGAAGTTGAAACAAATAACATGGATATTTTTTTATATCACCAGTTGTTTTTTCCTTTTTTTTTAATTATTCTACTTCTTAGTCTGATACAACACCACACGCTTCATTAAGTTAATCCAGTTTAGTCTAGTATAAGTCAGTCTAGCTTAGTCCCTGAAGCTAGTCCAGTATGAGATAATCTGGTGCAACAAACGCACCCTATAAGTACATGTAAGGTCCCTCTTCTCATCAATGTGGGATTCATTATCAACACGTCCCCTCACGTGTGATGAATTTTTAAATCTAACACGTGAACGACACTACTCAGGTGACATAGCGTATGTGTGACTGTTAAACTTCACACATGAGACAACTTACTCTGATACCATATAAAGTTTGAGATTGAAAAGTGAAAAAAAATGATATGAATGAGTAAAAAATAAGTAAACCACTCTCACTTATTCTCCGCTCCTTTACATCGTCCATTTTTCCCTTTCCAATCTCAAACTCTATAAATAGGATGTTATTTACGCTCTTTTTACTTTCGAAATACTTTTTTTAGTTTTCATTCGTGGAATGAAATGAATTTAAGAAAATAAAAATATAAAAATTAATAAGGTATGCATAGAAGACTTTGGACCATTTATCACTACAGGAAAATGAATTATTAGGGGCAGATTAAAAGAATTGCATATGAGTGGCAGAAATATTAATTGCCCCTATTAGTAGTATTAGGTGCGTTTAAAATAGCATCCAATATTAAAGAGGGATTGGGTGGGAAGATTGCTGTAAAAAAAAATTCACCAAAAATTTCTAGCTGTCATTTTAAATAAATAGGTGGGGTACTATCCACACCTAATATTTTTATTATTATTTTTTAAGTATTTTGCACTTAATATTATTTGTTTTAGTTAAATTTCTTTTTTATTTTTGTGCCAAAATTATTTAGCTTGATAGACAGCTTAATTTTGGAATTTGTTTTGGAAAATTGTCGGCTGTGGAATTGCAAAGGGAGGAAGAGTTTTGTTAAAACTTCAATTCCCTCTCTTAAGTTTTAAATGAAATAAACCTAAACTAATTGACAATTATTTTAATTTCTTTTATTCCTTTTTTTTTTCATTTTCTTCTCTTTCCCTGTTCACGCCATCTCTGTTTCTCTCGTTTTCTTTGTGTCTCGTTTTTTCTCGATCGTCCTTATTTTCTACTTCATCCAACAATGAACGCTCCATGGTAAGCAAAATTCTTTTTTTTTTCTTTCTTTTTACTCTACTTTTATCGTTTCTCCTTTTATATGATTCATATTTTTCTATTGATGAGTTGATTTAACTGATTTAGGGTTTGGTTTTTAATTTAAAGGCTATTGACATATTGTGTGCGATTCTGAATGTGTAGTTGGCTCACAATTGTCAGCTACATTAATAGATTTATTTTTTTTTATTTTATTTTCTTAGAATAAGAAAAATACTTCAAATTGAATTACATTCTTCAGTTTTATTTTTGTCGTGTTGTTTCCCAATAGTAGTTATGATGACGAGAAACTTTTCAATATGCCCGGAATACAGGGTGGTACATTCTATACAAGTGGTGAGATTCTTGTGTTAAAAAATTAATAACACAAAGGATAAATTTCCACCACTTACATAATAACATATGGTATATCATTTGTGTTACGGGCACAAGGAAAAATTTCTCCAAGATGAGTCACCCAAGTTCAAGAAATTGGATGGAGAGCTACATTTACTATTGTAGGTATGTAAAAAATGTGACGAAATTTTAATTTGGTAATTGAAAACTAGTTTTTTAATATAATTACTGAGAACATAATCTTCTCAAGGTTTTGATCAAAATAGTCACATATGGGTTCATCGTTTTTGGCGCAATGGGTGCTTTTACAGGACCAAAAAGGGTCTAAGTTGAAACTAAACCAAGAATTAAACACTATTTGTAAAACTTCACTAATAAGTAGACACTATTCATGAAACTAAATTAATAAGTAGACACTATTTATGAAACAAAAACAAGATTCTAAAACTATACCAATATAGGTGAAAACTATTTATGAAACTGGAGTAAGAACTAGATAATATTTATGAAACATGACCAAGAATTAGGCATTATTTATGAAAATTGACTAATAACTAGGCACTATTTATGATACCAGACCAAGAAAGAGACACTATTTATAAAACTGTATCAATTATTAAACATTATTTATGGAAATGGATATAATAACTAGGCATTATTTATGAAACATGACCAAGAACTAGACATTATTTATGAAAGTGGACAAAAAATTAGGCTCTATTTATGAAATTTGACCAATAAATAGTATAGTACCGTTCGTTTTTATAAATAGTGCAGTTTCATAAATAGTATTTAGTTTCATACACAATGTACAAGTCCCACGCTTTAGGTTTTTTTTTTTTTTAATTTTTATTGTGTCCTTTTTATTAAAACTTAAGTTTTTTGTCCTTTTTATTAAAATTTAATGGTAGGGAATAGGAAGAGGGGGCCGGCGGCAAGAGAGAGTAGAGAGATTTAATAGTAGGAAAAATAGTACATTAAGATCAAATGAGTATACTTCGGGATACTACCCCTGAGTTAGACATAACTTCCAAATAAGAGAACTACAAGCAATTCAACTCAGATAGTTTACACATACTGATTCCTTGGACGAGCGTTTGAAAAGTAGACTTGGGCAATGACTTCGTGAAGAGATCAGCCAGGTTGTATTGATAACAAGGTTCTAAAAAATGATAGGCGCTAGTCGGGCGGCGGGCTAGCGCCTAGCCCCTAGGCGGCTAGGCGGCCTAGGCGGATTTAGGTAAATTTCTTGTATATCTTGTAAATAAGTGCATATTGTCATTTACAAAAAAATTATACTTGTATGAAATCCATGGATAAGATAATAAAAGAATGATAAAATGCAAAAAGAGTATCCAACAAGTCCAAAATTTAAAAACTCATTAAGCATATATGCCATATAACTATAGTGAGGAGTATTGTAATGCAGGATGACACATTTCCAACCGCCTAGCCGCCGCATAGAGCCACCCCGATTTTTCCAGCCGTTTTGCACGAAATCGTTCCAACCCGCCCAGCGCCTAGGCAACCTCCTAGGCCGTTTTTTAGAACATTGACTGAGAACATATTTGCTTGTCTTCAATGTTCCAATGTTATTGTTATTGGTGAGTAATAAAACTTTAGCGCAATGTGCTTGGTGTTGTCTCCCTTGATTTATTCCTTCTTCAGCTGCTCGATACATGCTGCATTGTCTTCAAAGATCGTCGTAGGAAGGTCAACGGTAGTAGAAAGACCACTAGTGCTTTGAATGTGTTCCATGACTTCTCTCAACCAAAAACATTCATGTGAGGCTTCATGCAAGGGGAGAATCTCAACATGGTTCGAATAAGTCGCAATTAGTGTTTACTTGGTAGGCCTCCAAGATATTGCGGTGACTCCAACGATAAAGACATAACTCGTTTGAGAATGTGCCTTATATGGTCGGACAGATAACTTACATATACATAACCAACGAGGTGAGAATCAAGCAGAGGACCAAGGTAGCAGAACATTATGACGTCCACTACGGGGGAATACGTCTCCTCGTAATCAATCCCAGGGCATCGAGAGAAGCCTTGCGCTACAAGACGTACTTTGTATCACACTATTTCATTCTTCTCAATACGCTTCTTTACGAAAACTCACTTGTAGCCCACGTGTTTCACATATAGTGGAGTAGGAGTTACGGGCCCAAACACCTTACATTTCGCAAGCAAATCGAGGTCAACTTGGATTGCTTGTTTCTACCAATCAGTTCTATGTCGACATTTATCAATAGAACGTGGTTCAATGTCATCGCTAAGCATGATGTCATCGTTAAGCATGATGTCAGTAGCTACTATGTACGCAAATGCATCGTCGA